GATCTTTTTAAACCTTCCAAAAAGCGTTTTTTAAATTTTTCGGTAATATTATACCCAAAATGAAAATAAAAATAAAGTTATTTTTAAATTGTTTAAAGCTTGTGTAGTTTATATAAGTAGACTACTGCGTTCCAAGAAGTGAAATTTAAGTTATTAAAATTTCACGAGCTTTACTACCAGTGAAAAATAGAACAAATTTGACTGTAACACTTTCGCAACCATTCCATTTGCTCAACTTGAAATGTCCTGTATTTTTCCTTCGTTTTACTTTTTATGTTTTTAAAATTTTTGCTTTTCGTCATTTGGCAGGATTCTTTGCGGCATTTACCGTGTTCCGTTGGCTTCCTTTATGGCATTTTAAAAGCATTTTTGGCGTTTTTGTGCGAGTATGTGTTGTATTTAGGGTTTATTACTATTCTCATAAAATTTTCCGTTTCTGCAGGAATTTGTTGATCATTTGGTTTTTTGGTAAAAAATATTTTACACTATATTTATTATAAAAATACAAATTTTTAAATACTAGCAAAATATTATGAAAATTATTAAAAGTATGTGTAGTGTAGTGCTTTATTTGAACGTACTTATATACCTAATCGCAAAACTAAGATTATTTAAAAACTGTTCACAGTTCTTTTATTGATTATGTTGAGGCTAGTTAAGTCAGTGCACTTGAGCACTTTTACTCTCTTTTAACTGCGACGTTTCTTCATAACCCCTCTCTACGCCTTGACTAGATTATTGTTTATCACTTCATCAGACTAAACAGTAATTGATCTCAGTTCTGCATGCCTCCCCGAGGAGCCTGTAACCATTCAGAGATTCGATAATGTGGTGTTGGTAAGCCTGTCAGTTTTCGTGAATAGTTTCAGAGTTCTATCCTTTATATATTCTTTGATCGGATCAATCTTGAGGTCCATGAGGATGTCATTTGTCCTAATGTACCATGGTATGTACCATGTATATTTAGTTCTCCAGTAATTCTATTCATAAATTTTTTAACTCGAGAAAGCAAAAAAAACTTCATCTGCAAGAAATTGATCGCAATTTCATGAACGGTAAAGAATCTATACATTCCACATAGATAAACATTGATCAAAATGGAAAAAAATGAATACCAGATTCTTTCTACAGGATTACAATATATGTGCTTGATTATAAGTTTAATTTTATTAATCAAAATGTTAACAAAATATTAATAATTCCCGTAAAACTACAATATTTATTCTTGATTGCAAGATCAATTTTTTTACTACACATATTGTTCACGATTTCGATTAAATTTTGTCATGTTTTGGTT